ATGTAAGTTCAATAAACCACATTTCACTGCTGTTGCCTGCCACTAAGAATGATAGAATTTCCTCACTGAAATCAAGTTTCTCACTAAATTATAAGTGCAACTTATCAAAAAGAAGCCGTTCAATGCAACTATACGTTTAGTTTGCCATGAATTTAGTGATTCTAAATATGTAAAATGTAGCATTTAAGTGTTTTCCCATTCATAAAGACCAAAAGACACATACACCAAGTGCTTGCACTTGTATTTTATATTTCTAACAAAAAAACTAATTTAAGAAAGTGTGCGTTAGCAAATAAACTGGAAAAAAGTATGAGAACCATTGCTCCAACCTGGTCTAAATCTGACAGGAAGGATGTTAAAGCCTGCTTGTTACATTTATCTACTCTAGTGTGGCAGATAAAGCCTGAACACAATCCAGCCAACGATTACATTTGTCAGCACAACATAATTGGGGAAACCATTAGTACTTTACTTTACAGTATTAGTAGAAGACACGGTTGGAGAAGCTCAGTGGAGGAGGAAGTCGGGGGTGTCGGGGTGTGCCTCTACAAACCTCTAATTGTAACAGTAGCTGAAAGAAACCAATAATTCTACACACTGCTCCAGGTGTGACAGCTAATGCAACACACACACACACACAGAGTCAATTACAGAGCGGCTGTGACCCAGAGCCCTAGAATCATCACAGCATTGACTGATTCTTTCCTCGGCTACTGTTGTCATTGTGACAGCGAGTCACTTCGACAGGAAGCTGACCTACATCCCTCCACAGACACACCCACACACACACACACACACACACACACACAGTCGAGCTTGAAGATTGAGTTCTCCACAACAAAATACACTGAGTCCAAAAAATAAATAATAAAAACTGAACGTTATACTGAAATAAGAACATTAAACACACACCTACACGCACACACAACAAAGCGAGCTGCCCATCAAGGCTTCATTTGATCAATCCAGGAAGCGACCTCTATTGATGTTCCAGTCCACCGATCGGCAAGACAGCCACCTCTGATCATTAGTCAATAATGGAAAAGTACAAATCAATGGGAAAGGTGCAAACTGCCTCACAACAATAACAACCCAGAATACTGAGACTGCTGCGATTTCAAACCACAGCCAGAGGCTGATCACTGAGTGTTCAGATCAAACTCCAATTATATGCCTCAGAGACTTCCATTCTCATGCAGGATTGCGTCATTTCCTGTGGGCGTGGCCATCGGCACATGGTTTGATATCAATGACGTCTATCAGCATAAAGGTCTAGATGTTACAGTCTTATACTAATCTGTAACCAGTTAACATCACAAAATCACAGAGCTGCTGAGTTTGCAGACATTTTGAGGCCGTCAATTGAGTTAATTAATGTCAATAAAAAAAATACAACTTTAAAGTGATCAAATAGGCCCAAACAACATTCTTTATATGATACAATTCAAGTACTCAACAACATGGTCATGGTTCCAAACTTTGGCAACTATGCAACATATATAAGGCTTTCTTGTCTCCGCCTAGAATAATAAATAAATAAATAAATAAATAAATAAAAATAATTTGGATTATGTTAATATTTCACACAAATGCTGCAGTCGACAACTACACAACCAGCGACGACAACAACCGCCACCAGCTAGGTCCAACGACTTCAATCATTTATTCAACTTCATCGCCAACAGTTTTATTTCTGATCATAAAACCCACAAACAGCAGCTTTAAGACTTTACAGCAGGGAACACCCACACCAACGCAGACAGACATGTTGACATGTACCTCGGCTGTTAGTTGCAAGGTCGGCCACCTTCTGGAAGGCATCTAGGAAGGCTGCTACCGCGACAACTGTCGTCCTGGAAGACACAACGGAGGAAGGTTTGCATATAAAATAGTATTTTAAAATATATTTAATATCTTATATCTCTAGAACACTTGTTTTTGCCACTGACAGGCTCAGGTTGTTATTCTGACATTATGGCATTGTGACGATATTGTTAATTTTGAGTGTTCCAGTTTTAAGTCAATGCTGCACTAAGTGGAATTGATAAGAGCTAATCTGAGCTTTGATGTGCTTGAAGTGATAACTGTAGCATTTCAGAAATACAAGTAACTGATCAGACCTCAGTACGGCAGAAACTCAGTATTACATTTTTTTCTTGGATCGGGGAAAAAAAACTTATATATATGCTTATAAGATTCTAGTTTTTGGTCCACTAATTGGTTGTGGGATTGTGTCATATTCAGGGATAGTAAAATATTATACATTTAACTTCTAATCCTTATATAATCAGTCATATTTGCAGGTTCATTCTTATTTCTGTCTGTTCTACCAAGTGTTTCTTGTTATCAGACCCTATTTTAACATCTCACTGACCACACTCAACTGCATTAATTTAATGTCTAGCCTTGATCTTGATATGTATATAAGCAAATTTCAAGTCTCTGAAAGTAGATTTTTCATGTCATCCTAAACTGAAATCAATAGCTGCCTGAAAGGGAGGAAATCGATGGAAAGTATGGCAGAAGATCGCTGGTAATGGAAAGTATCGAGAACGGGACAAAACATGCTAAGCAAAGGTTTGGTCCTTTAATCCCAGATACAGAAGCGCTGCCTAAAATGCCAAGATGGGGTTTGGTGAGGAAGAGGAGGAGGAAGGATGCACTCTGAGTGTTTGCAATCAGCTTTGACCTCTGGTGACCTCTGGCCCAGTGCAGAATCTCTGGAGGCTGCTGCTGATCCATCGCACTGATAATGACTTTATGGTGGCATCATTAATCTCTGCCAGCCGCAGAAGGTTAATTGAGTTGTGCACATGTGTGTGTGCATGTAGTGTGTGTGTGTGTGTGTGTGTGTGTGTATAAAGGTGGATGTTGGTGGGTGGTTAATGGCTGGAAGGCGTGAGTGTATGCGTGTGGAGGTATTGTCCACGATGATTTAATGTTTAAGTGTACATTTGTATGTGCATGTTTCTTTACGTGTCTGTGTGTGTGTAACCTTCAGTGGGGGTGTGTGTGTGTGTGTGTGTGTGTCAGAGCCAGTGAACCAGGGTGTCGGAGACGAGGCGACAGAACAGGAGAGGTGAGCCTGACATTTAAACACTTAATGAAACAGACTGATTGGATTTTCATGAGCTCAGGTTATACAGACTCTCAACATGTGTGTGTCTGTGTGTATTATACCTGTGCACACACACTTCCCTTTTTTTAACATCAATGAGAGAAACGAGAAACGAAAGTGTCGGTTTTTAACACATTCTGCAGAAAAACATGAACGTGGCATCTGAAACATCACCTGCAGGTTTATAAAGAGCTGTTCTGAAGCCTCGAATTAATGGTGGAACAGAGCCGCTTCCTGCTTTTCCTGCTAACAAGTGCAAATATCAGCTGTACGAGAGGTCTATGAATGTGTTTTTTTTGGAAATGACGAAGAAACATGAGTGCTCTGGTTCCAGCGAGGCTTATCGGGATTCAGACTAAAAGGATTTATTCAAGAAGTGAAAAACTGACTTTTGTAATAAGCCCTGCAATAAGATCTTTTCTGTCTCTTTTCGTCATTAACCAAAATAACCGGGACATTTTAATGGAAATCTATTTGCTAAATATGTTAGTTTGCTACAAATCTGACAACACAAATACATAAATGCGTTGCAAACTCAGAAAAAAGCCTACAAGCTTTATTCTATTTTTACTACTGTGATTGTGTGATTTTAATATTACTGGAGATTAGGGGTCTAAGGAAATCTCGACCCGCTTGAGTATCGCAATGTTTCGCCTCTATATGGGACAGTCCTTCAATTACATTTGCATAAAACTGTTGATCAGCAATGATGATTTAAACTGGCGTCGATATTACTTGTACAAACATACAACCGAATAACATATGACCATTTGTTGGTGCTCATGGTTTTTATAAAAAGAACTGAAGGATTATATTTTATATAACAATGTGTAGTTTGTCCATATTGACAAAATGTTAAACATATATATTTGTGTAGGCAATCTAAGCAGCTTAGATACCGGGTACGACACTGCGACTCAGTGGGTTTTAAGCGGTTTTATACATCCAAACAATTTCTATAAAATCCAGACCAGGCGTCTAATTCAGATGTAGTTTATTTGTCGAAACATGCAGCCACAGCAGGCTGTCAAAGGGACCTGCGTCTTATTTTAAATGAACTGTACATCTCCCACAAAAACTTGTCCGATCAGTATTTTCACATTGTTTCTTTATAATCTGTGTTGTTTGTTGGTAAAAGTGTCACTTTTTTTCCTTGTGTTTCCCCTTTCTGAAGTGTTGTTTTTTTTAATGAGATGCATGTGTTGTTAAAGTGGTGAAGCTGGTTACTTGCATGTGATTTCTCAAGTTGAAGTGTATTGAGCTCTCGGCCACTGTTGTTTGTGTGTGCGTGTGCGTGTGCGTGTGTGTGTGTGCGCGTGCGTGTGTGCGTGTGCGTGTTACCTGAGCTGTGATTGTAGTTTGCTGGCCTTGCTGATGAAGTCGTCCCAGACAGGGTAACTGCCCTGGAGGGAGAAAGAGAAAAGAAGGCTGAGAATTTACATGAAAACAGCGTTTTCCTTTACAATGAATGTACAAACACAGAATAAAAATCTTATTATGGAAGGTTTTTTAAAATCTGCATGTAGTGTTGATTAATCATTGTCCCCTTAATAAGGTCACTATCAGACACACAGTTTGGGTTTTCTTTTCATATTTATTCATCTTAAATATACACACACTCAACTATAATACAGCCAAATAAATTCCTCCTCATAAAAAGTTTGCTCATGTACGGATCGTCAGGCTCGACCAAAACACATAAATCCTGGGCCTGGGATGCAGCAGTGAGCCAACAGACAACAAGGAGACAGATCAATACCACCGATCCATATGCCCCACCCACCCCATCCCAACTAGAGGAAGCCAAACGAGCGCCCCCAGGCATGCAAATACAGTTGGGGTCCACAGACTGGGTCTAATGTGAGACAGATACAAATAGTGAGAAGCCAAAACGCTGCAGTGCGGTACTGCTGGATGTGTGTTCAGAAAGTAGGCTGAGGCGCTGCAGCCAAACACACAAAGACAGAAGAAACTGGGGTACGCTTCTAATGTCAGCAGGAGTCCCCTGATGTTTTTAGGGGTGGGTGGGGCTTTTCTACTGCAGCGAAACATCTGAGGCACCTTCACTCACTGGATTCTGTAGAGTAGACTCAGAACTGTGTCACCAATTTAAATAAACTACTTTAAACCACATTGTAAAATACTACAAGAGTCCTAGAATTAAAAGACACTTTAAATCGACTTTTATGTCCTCTGTATGAAAATAATGTTTGGCCATGGCCACTTTTGTACAGATTGTATATAATATACTTATATTATTACTATATTATATCCAGGGGAAGCATAAGATTACTTCACAGTGCAATGCAACATGAATCAACCTCTCTCTGCCACAGCCAAAGCACTGAGCATTATACATTGTTGTTTTGGTATTTTATTTTTATGTGTACTAAAATCCCTGAATAAAGATAACTTCCTTACATTATAAGTGTTGCAGAAATAATACCCTATATTACTAAAAGTATGTGGACATCGCTGTAGCCATCATACAAATGGCATACAGTATGAGTATTGTATTAACCCTGCTTTCATGTGGTGTCAGAATAATGGTGACTGCCCCCTGAAGTCAGAACAACAACTCTTGTTGTATCATGCAGAAACATGTTGGACAAAAGTTGGGTTAATCTTTTATTCATTTACATATTGCATATACATGTTTTGCTCACATGTAATTTGTAATATGGTATTAGGTTGTAACCGTTAGTTGCTGTCCACATTAAGTGATTAGTGACTATATGAGTTTGAAAGGTTATTCATTATTACCTCTGATAACAAACACTGGAAACAGCTAATGAGCAATGAGCAATAAAATACAAAACATCTTCTTTATCGCCGTTGTTTCCACATTATGACTTAAAGCTCATGAACGCAGCAAAGCACGAAAGAACAACTTCCAGACTTGGGAAATAGGACCATCCGAGGAGCACCTGAATGCACCACGAGATGCTCTTGGGACTGTCAGGGCTTTGCACATTGTGGGCGTCGCCTTTTGTCAGCGTCACCGTCGTTCCCCTCCAACAGCCCAGCTGAGCTGAGCTGGGTGTGTTCGGCCTTGTTCTGTTTGCGAGAGTGATGCTCAGCGTCATCGCCTGGCTACCGTTGCTATGGTAACGCTGCTGCTGCTGCAGCTGCAGAGGGGCTTCAGACAGAGAAGGATTTGTGGGGAGGGGAGAGTCACACGTGCATCCATTTTCACCCAAACACACACACACACAATTTTTTCTGTGTCACACATTTGCTTTCTTTGTTTCTCTCTTTCATATTCCACACACATTTATTTTTCGTTCTTTTTTTTCTGTCCTTGATGCACACACACTCAATCTTTTAATTTTTCTCAGGCACTGTCATTTCATCTGCCTGCTCTCTATTACTCGTTCATCATGTCCTCTCTATTCCACTGTATATATACCCACATCTCATTACATCCCCTCTCTCTCTCTCTCTCTCTCTCTCTCTCTCCCTCTCCCTCTCTTGGACTCGCACCGAGGCGAGGGCAGGGCCGCTGCATCAATCAGTCACTGAGGACATAAATTGTCACCGTGGCAACAACCGGAGGCAGCAGCAGCAGTAGCAGCAGCCTGCTGGTCCTTCAGGAATCCTCTGTTTGTTTGGCTCTGTGAGCGACTGCACAGGCTTTAAAACGAGAAATCCCTGTTTGGGTTTTTCTTTATCTGTGAGATAACAACACAAATCTGATTCCCCAAACTTCACAATGTGAATGTGTAGACTCAAACTGGGGATGGTGAGATTACATGGGCAGAATCCATAAATCCACAAAGATGGATGCTACATGTGGTGCTGCCGATGAGGGGAAAGTGTGGCCTCGTTTGGTCATTTGATTTTTGTATGCTGAAATCTTACCACAGACGCTGTCATTTAACATTTCTACGAGTGTGTCATCCCTGTGGGCGTGGCTAATTCGGCACACCCCATTTGGCATGTGTGTGGTGCCAAAGTGGTCTGGCAGATGAATTGGACCTTAAAAGGAATAGTCTGACATTTTGGGAAATTGGCTTATTCGCCGCCTTGCCGAGAGTTAGAGTTAGACAAGAAGATTAACACCACTCTCATAGTTTAGCTTGTAGCTTAGCATAAAGACTGAAAAGAGCGGAGGAAGAGCTCCCTAATTAACTCATTGTACCTCTTTTGTTCAATCTGCACAAAAACTGAAGTGTAAAAATTTGGCAGTTTGTAGTTTTATACGGGGGGGGGGGTTATGTGCCGACTGGTCACCAAGGAGCGTTGCCAGGCAACCAGCTGAGACTCCAGAACGGTACTGCTCGCAGCCAAGAAATAGTCCGGCACATAGCCCCCCCCTAAAAACAGTGGATTCTTGGTTTTACACCTCGGTTTTTTGGACAGATTTAACGGACAGGCAATAATGTGTTCATTTGTGAGCTTTAGAGGTGCTGTAGGTCAATTTTGGAGAGAGCCACGCTAGCCGTTTCCCCCGTTTCCAGTTATTGTGCTAAGCTAAGCTAACGGGCTGCTGGCTGTTATTTAAGACATGAGAGTGTTTTTGATAAAAAAATAGCCAGCCATTGCAGACATTGTTGTGTGTAAAGTGTTTTATTTAAAGATTCTACTGTACATCTATATATATTTATCATGTATTGACTATGAAATGTATTTAAAGGTTCAGAGATGTGGCCTATTCATTGATTAGCCAATATTTACATCTTAACAAAATATAACAAAATGTAATAAAAGAAACGCAGTTGGACTTTGAATAAATAAAAACTTAATAATAGAATAATTGAATGGATATATTGCCTCTAAATCAGCATACAAGCTGCCTTCAACCTTTGACAGCCTATAACTTTCAAATCATAATGAATTCCCTTCAAATGTGTATATGAATATGTTAAGAAGATTTATACCATTTCACAAAACTATGATAGTGTGAGTGAATACTTGTTACAGTAGTGTCCTCAGGCATTTACTGGAAAAAAGGCCCACTTTTGGTGAACGCACCCGACACTCCAGCATAACATATCAACGAAGTCCAACCAAGTACCCAACGGCGGAATTCACCTCTTAAAACCAGAAACACTGCCCCTGACGTCAGACAGTAAATCACAATCAGAGAGCAGAGAAAGACTCAGAGAGAGTCAATGCCAACAAACAAGCACACAACATAAAACCAACAACACAGTGACCCATTTGGCCGAGGCACCAAAGCCGATACAGCAGCTCCCTCCGTGAGGTTTCCATGACGATCTCGATACTGATGCACAGCCCCCCCCCAAAAAAAAGAGAGCAGGATTATTTTAGCTCAGAGGTGATTAAGACGACGGCTCAGTCCAAGATAAATGGTGATTAGCATTCAGCTAATGCGCTCAACAGCATTACTTTAAACACACACACACACACACACACACACACCACAACAGGGTCAAAAAAGCTACAATAACTTAGCATCACAGTTGTTTTCAAAGACAACATAATTAAGAAAGTGTGTTTTTTGACGGGTTTGATGTTTACAGTAATACTTCCTGTCAATTGTCTCTCACAGGAAGAACTGGATGTCTGTTCTGGGAAACCTATGACCCCTGAGTGTACACTCAAAGAGGTCATAGGTTGGAACATGTCGACACAGAAAGTAGAATCTGAGCTTTACAGCCACCAATAAATCTAATGACTGCTGAAACGATTAGTGGATTAACCAATTAGTCAACTGACTGCCCACAATTTTGATAACATGCCAACAAACCGCACGTTCCAGATTCTCACATGTGAGGATTTGCAGATGTTTTACGTGTTTATTATAAACTCTATCTTATGGTTCTGGACTGTGGCTCAGACAAAACCTAATATCTGAAGACGTCACCTTGCACTCTGGGAACTTGTGACTGACTAGTCTACACCCCTAAAATGCTTTACCAACGTGCCACAATAATGTAATGTGTTTTGTGTTAGAACATCTTAATTTGGGGGCTTTTCCAAGCAAATATTGATATATGTGATTGTTTGCATGGATATCTCTCTATCCGCCCGTGCTCAGGAGTTGGTGGAGATCAAAGCAGAGCTATAGAGAGAGTGAATATTGGATGCAAACATAACTCAAACCGGGTAATAATGCTCCTCTGTGTCTACTGGATGTGTAGGATTTTGTAGGATCCCTATTAGCTCAATCAAAACAGAAGCTAAACTTGTTGTCCAATGACTACGTTAACAGATTAACTGTAAAACCTTCGGATGAAGTGTTTCTGAGAGTGTTTCTGCTCATCAGTGGCCAAAAATCACAAACATTGTGAGGACACTGATGTGTGCTTGTTCCAAATCCACAGCAGCAACAGTAAACCTTCAGTTCAGCGTCTATTCATCAGGGGTAAACTATGAAAGACAGTTTAGAGGCGGATGTGAAGCTCGGTGTAAAGCAGCTCACAGTGAAGAGGATGAA